ACCCAAATTATTTTACTTTTTTAGTTAAAAAACAAAATCTTATAAGCAAATAAAATCTACATTGAGTTGATAACAGTAATAAGATGAAGATATAGTTTCCATATTAATGGAAATGAGATAATTTCTTCACGTCATTTAAATGTTTCAGGTATGATTGTTAGCGACCCTACACCAATCCCAACTACATAGGATTCTGTGTTTATGTATGTAATTCTTGGTACTTTTGTTAGGAAAAAAAAAACTGTAATCAATTAGCACGTAATTAAGAGAAGTAATTTAAAAAACCAGAAATGGCAAAAAGTCAAAATACAGTCTAAAAGATCGTTTATGGTATAAATTATTTTTGAAGACAACATGTAAGAGCTAGATACAGAACTCCATGAAAATACACCCTCAAGGTCTTTCTTCCCCTACACTTAGTTCTTATCTCTCTCCCTCACATCTAGGACTAGTTCCTTATGAAATTAGAAATAATATATTCATCATCCCAAACTGGACAACACACTACACATTCTGATCAGAATAAGAATAGACAATTATTTTCAGTAGTACCTCCAGCTGTGTACATCTTACAATAAAACCAAATCTTAAACTGGTAAATAAAAGCTCAATTCTATGCTGGATGTCTACGAGCATACACTATATCTTATCTAAATACAAAATGGAATACTTAAGATAAGTCTTACTTTGATCCACAGATAAAATAACCAATTTCCATTTATTTAGAAGTCATTACCCTATCTGCAAATTATCCATATCTATTGAATTATTACTTCACAGAGTGATCCACAAGATCAAGGCATGGTTTAGTGTAAAGAGTCAAAATGACCTGGTTCAAATTTTAACTCTACCATTTCCTTGTGTGGCTTTTGGCAAGTTAACATTTAACAGCCTCAATTAGCTTATGATCTCTTCTGTAAAGTGAGGGGAACAATTCTTACTTTGCAGGGTTGTGTGGGGATTGAGATTATACACACCCACACACACACACACGCACACAGAGAACAGGCAATTGCAGGTGCTCCGCTTGTGTTTTTCTGTCTCAGCTTTTGGAAGCAGGAGATAGTAAGGGAATGGAACCAAAACATCAATGAGTCAATGTTATTCCTTATTAGCAACTTTCGTAACAAAGTGAGAATAATTTTGTTTGAATAAAATTTGAGGGACATTTGACATCCCATGTCACCAATAATTTTTTAAACTGAAAGTTACAGTTTAAACATAAGATGTAACTTAACTATATGTACTTCTATTTGACAGCTTCTAAATGTTTGGACCCAGAGTGCCTCTACCCAGGCACCTCCTACCCTCCCAATATTAAATCTTCTTGTCCTATTTATTCTACTTTAAAGATTATAGACTTTAAGCCATGTGACATCATTTGCCTTTGTATTTTTGTTACAAAAATTATCTTGCTGAAAAATTTGGAAGTGTATGTTTATCTAATAAACAGAAGTCAAAAGCAGGTGTGTACATTGAGGGAAGAGGGGAGAATACATGACGGAATTAGCAGAAATTTACATCTTCTCTTTCCTTGTACTATGCAGAATCCCCGAGTTTTCCATTTTGTAGTAAACCACACCATAAAGCAAACAAATATACACACACCAAAATAAGGGCATGAACTTTGAAAAAGCCATCAAGTCTGAATACTATATCATTATCTATAGTTCTTAAAGGTGATTCTTAACTCACTAGCAATAAAATCCCAGGAATTTTTCAATTCCAGAAACATAATATAAAGCAATAGAGAAATATCTATAATTTTTTACATGAATGATATTTACAGCAAATTCTCACTGGACCAATAATC